ATTGGGGGCAATTCAGGGTTTAGTATCTGACCCAAAGATACTTCAACACAGGAGTCGGAGATTGATCGTCCAACCTTAACTACTATATTTACTCATTCATTACAGTAGCTAAAGTATTTATCTTATCTTATAAATGATCCCAATAGATAATAATAGATCGGTCTCGGTTTCAGTTGTGAATGAAGGTTGGCCTTTATTTTGTAAAGAGTTTCAGGTTGTGTTTCGTCCACAGCGTAGGAGCGTTTATGAGAGAAGATGGTGATTCTCCACGTTAAGGAAGAAATCCTGGATTGTATTACTCTCTCTGACAACTGAGTGCAATGATTACAAAGAGGCCCACATGCCAAATGAGAGCTGAAAACAAAAACAGCCTGCAAACTGTTTTTGTTTGTCATGAATAATGATTCTTTGTAAATGCAACGTTTTCACTTGTGGATTTGACTTTTAAACTCTTTCCTTTTACAGTGAATTTTATTTTGGATTCATTTATTATTGATAATTTGGCGTGGTATCCTGATGGGAGTTTCCCACAGTTCCTACATTAAAAGTTGTACACTTTTTAATTGCACAGCTGCTTGAGGTGAGGTTGTAAAAGTACATTTGCTGAAAATAAATATTTGAAGTAGCCTTTTAACATAATGTAATCTCAGAAGGCTGCTGCCAGCTATACCGCCACACCAGAGAGTTTAGTTTACTGAATTTACGACACTGCTTCAGCTCACATCCGGTCTGACTTATCACTTCTCGATGGTCAGCGTGGAGCAGAGTTGGATTTTCTCCACATTCCAGCATCCAGAGGGTGGAAACTTGCAGACGGTGTGTTTTCAGCGCTGCGCTGCTGAGCTTTGCAAACATCACGACTTCAGATTGTTTCTTTTCTATTTGTGGAAAAAGGAAGAAAAAGAACAACAAGCAAATGACAAGGTGGCCAGCAGCACACAGAAGGCTGCAGAAAATAAACACTGTGATACTGAACCAGCCAGTTCAGATGGAAATAAGCTGAACACACTCACGCGCGCACACACACACACACACACACACACACACAGAGAGAGAGAGAGAGAAGGGTTATATTTGCCATCAGCTAAAAGGGCCACATTTATCAACCTGATTATAACAGGCTCAACACAAACTGCTGTGTCGACGACGTCTTTTTGAGAAAATTAACATTTTCATCAGCCTCCTGGAGCGAATGTGCACAATTTTTTTTTTTTTTAAACAAATCAGTCCATTGTAGAGGCAGCAGGACTCTTGCATCACCTCTCTCATTATGGTGGTCTGGACGGAGTTTCCCACAGGAAAACGGATACATCCTGAGACGGCTGCCCTACTTCTCTCTCTCCTCCATCTGGTTTCCATCAGAAGCTGCTGGGGCTGCGAAGGTTTCCCCCAGAGGACACCACCTCTCTGATTTTTTTTTTTTTTTTGGGGTTGATCTCTTTCAACTGTCTCTGTCCATTACCTTCAAGTTCTGATTAAAACCAAATTTCTGCTACACTCTGACAAACTGAAGCAAAAAAAAAACAAAAAACAAGAAAAGAAAAGGGCACTTCAAAATTAAAGATGGGTATGGATATTATGGTCAATTTGAAGGCTTTTGGAAGTTCAGTGCAGTGCACAAGCACACTGATGGCTAAACCACACCCACTTGAGTTTTGGCTGCTAGATGAGCAGTGGGGCCATGGGGTTAAACCTCCTGCTCTTCGGCCAACAGTATTTTCCAACCTGACCACTGGAAAGACATTAAAATTCAAGGCTATGATCTCCTCATTTGAGTCAGGTTCAAATCCTCGCTTCTGCATTTTGGATGAGTTGGTTCATATTAATGATTTTTGACTGCAGCGGGATCGGGAGAGGTGCCCAGCAGTGAGATAAAAAGGAGACTTACATGACCTTTAAATCCACACGGACTAAAGGGGACTTGATTTTTTTTGTTTGTTTTTTTAATGCTCGTCAGTTGCACTGCTTCCTATAAGTCAACAGCCAAAGTTGCTGAGATTCACTATGAGTAAGAGTGAGTCAGTAAACATCCAGAGACAAGAGGCTCGCTTGTTCAATTTCCCCCTGGGGAGTGTATGTATCCAAGAAAGTGAGCGGCTGTAAGTGCTTCATTTATCTATGCTGAGCAGGACTGGCTGTACTTTTTTTTTCAGTCCCTCTCTGAACATGATCTTTAGCATAAGGCTAGTGGAAAGGGAAGGTTTTCAAACCACTCCAAGTACAGGCCTGGAGTCAGCTCTAGCAGCGGTTACTGAGCCTCCCTCAGCCTGCCTGTTTACTTAACAAGCTCTCTTGTTTAAACGATTTCTTTGCACTGATACTATCCAGAAATTATTACTTCTATTTATAACACAGAAAAATGTAAGTGGTTACATATTTTTGGACACACGGAGATAACTTGATAAAATTATTTTGATCATGCTTCTTTCAGCAGCATCCTCTGCATCTCTGTAAGCTGTAGAGGCAGCAGCACTCGGTTGGAAAACAGCTGGAGCTTTGGCGCTCATAGCTGAACATCAGAACACGCACACAGGATTTGTTAACCGGTGACGCAGCACACACCATCGCAATACTTTGGAAATGAGCAAATGAGGTGACTGCTTCACTGCACTGTAATTATGTCCACATGATTGAGCCTGTGGATTATCCTGCTTGGCTGGGACTGCACTGTTTCCTAAACTACAGCTAGATATACTTTGGTGACCTTTTCAAAAGTGGACAGCTGCAGTGGACACGAATCTTTGCTTTTCTTAATACTGCTATTCTTACACCCTCTATTCAGGTAGCCGGCTGTAACAGGTTGGAGGAGGAAGATAGTCTGTGTAACTGACTAGTTTGTTTGATTAACAGGAGCCAATGTTCAGACTGAACCTTGTTTGTTCTGAAAAACATTTTTTTTTTTCTGTACACTGAGGAATGGATTAGATGGCACTTTGTGGTGTAGAGACTGAAATCTAAGCAGCAGGTATTGACGTGGTTTAGCATATTAATTCAGCATAGCGGTCATTTAATCTGTCCCCAAATTACCTTTGGGAGTCTGATCAAATCAGCCTTTTTTATTCTGAAGTGGGCTGTGAAGCACTCAAGCCTTTAATAGGAGTGCCCTCTAGTGAAAAATATAAGCAACTGCATGTAAAAGTTTCAAAAGATCTTAATAAAGTGGACAGTGCCTGTGTTGTGCTAAAAACAACAACAGTTTTCCCAAAAATAGATTTTTTTTGTTTTTTATTTATTGTTTTTTCTGTGATTTTGAGTCATTTTGAGCCAGAAATTTGCACCATCAAAACTCCTAATGTCTTTTTCAAGATAGATCTGGTGTAGAGGGTGGCAGGAAATAGGATCACAGTGCTATAAAAATATTTTAAGTGGCCAAGATTGATTATAATGCAGGTTACTACTTGCAAAGCAGGTCATTTCTTTCTTTCTTTATTTTTTTTTATCTAATCCCGTCATGAATCCTATTCACTACAGTCTATTTATGAGTATAAGTAAAGAAATTATACATAAAACACATAGACACATCAGAAATCACTTTTTTGCACAACATGTTAAGACACAACACAACAAGTAAGTGCAGTGCAGTTTGTCCTGAACAACACAAGCTCACAATGCTCTGCAAACTTGAATCATCTATTAGCTCACTCGAAGGCTCCAGGAATCATTACAGATGCCTGGAAAAGGATTATGAATAAACCTATTAACGGGTTCATCTGTCTGACTGCATTTCATTATGCATGGCCAGTTTGTTATAAGTAACCATGCAACAGATGTCCAGCTGCTTTTAGCTTTTTATCAGTTGAGCCCACTGATCACACCGCACTAACACAGTCTGCCAACATGTGGGAAGTTTATAACCACTGCTACTACCCCTTTTTAATATTGTACCATAATAATAGTAATAATAATAATAATTCCAGTATTAATCAAACTTTTTCAGCTTTATTTTAATCATTGTAATTTCAAGAAACTTGAAAAAAGGGAAACAATAGTTTAATTAAATACTGAGTTCACAGAGCAGTCGACCAGAAAGTCCAAAATAAAGCTCATAAGCTGCATCTACTTTCTGTAAGATGGACGGTCATATGTACTTCATCTGTGCCAGTTTAGGCTTCACCATGTGAGGATGAATACGCCAGGAGTATCCACAGCAAGGGGTTAAAATACAGCACGATGAACAGTACATGGTGAATTTACAGAGCTTTTATTTTGGTAGAGTTTGTTCACAGATTGTGTCAAGTTGTTATAGATTAGATATCGTGGTTAGACCTTTCCAGAGTGTTGAAGAACCTGATCAGGCTCATATTGCAGCTGTCTTTGAAGATTGTGGTTTCTCCTCTGAGCTCTGTGCAGCATCAAAAGTTAATGTGGGGGTCACACTTTTTTGGGGCATCGGGCCTCAGATTCACTTTCTTTGGGTTTGGACCTGTGGTTGATGGACATGTGACATTAATCTAATGTTTATGATAAAGAAGTCCTCAGTTTATCCCCAAGATAATCTTACAACCAAACAGTAAGTTTGGTTGTAAGATTCCTACCATAGAAGGGTCAAATTCTCAAATTCCTTCAATATGTAAGAAGTTTTTAATCCCCCCCTGTGTACCACTATTATAATAATAATTAAAAAAACATGACCTCATTCATCAATAATCAAACTTTATTTGAATTAAGTAAAAAACTGAAAAAGTCAAAGGAAGCACAAAAACTGTTCGGTCAAATATTGAGTTCACAAAGCATTCAAAGAACTTTACCAGAAGATCCTGACATCCAAAATAAAAGTTGGGACAAATATATTGTTGTAAAATAAATATGAGAAAACATATCTATAGAATTTTCCAGCATTCTGTGTCCAGCACTATAGTTAAAATAAAAATCTCTATAAAGTTGAGTTCTTCCTTCTAAGCTCTGAAGTTTCCCTGCTCATACACTGGGCTGTCTTTCCACATTTCATTTTGATATGTATTTATGTGCATAGTTTGTATTGTATTTCTCAAAGCCTGCTTTAATTGAAATCAATATAAGTCGTCGCTGGATTCTGTGGTCCTTCTTATCAGCAGTTGAGAATGGAGTTGGCCCTTTGGATGCGAATAACCTTCTTTGAGTTGTAACTGTACTCAAACTGCATGTGTTCATGGAAGAAGTACAAGTATCCTGTAAAACAGAGATCAGTATCAGTACTGGTGGATAAAAATCGTACCTTTGGATGCTTCTACTCAGAGTGTGACTTTATTATACCATAGTGATAAGTAGCAGCGTCGACCTCATCCTCCATTCCAGGAAAGTCCTCCTCAATGGATCGTGGGTAGCCACTGTCCATGGTTCCTGTTGCTTCATCATAGCTGTGGGTGACACATAACCATTTAGTCATTCAACACTGTTGAGTCTGATCACTGACAAAGCTGCAGTGTGACCATTACAATTGCTCCTATGTCTCCACATACCTCCAGTAGTCTTCATCGGTGAACAGCAGAGTTTTTCCAGTGTCTTTGATGTGCACGGCTGCATCTATTTTCCTGATGCTCTTGGGAAGACCAAGTTTATGAATGTATTTTGGGTAACCATCCACAAGGTTGTATCCATTCAAAGCCCACATTTGGATCCCTGGTGAAACGTGGAATAGGTTTACGATGTACACGCACTCTACTGTTTATTTAAGAAATGACCAGAAAGTGTGAACTACTCACCACTAAATATCATAACCAAATCCTTCTCTGGGTTCTCATAAGCTGCATCTACTTTTTTGGGAATAGATGGCCAAGTGGACTTAATCAGAGTCAATTCAGGCTCCACCATCTGAGGATGAATACGCCAGTAGTATCTGAAATGAGGTGTGAAAAAACAGCACGATGAACAGTAAAGAATTTACAGAGCTTTTATTTTGGTAGAGCTTAGGCAGAAAATGGAACTCTTGTTCACAGATTGTGTCAAGTGGTTATAGATTAGATATCGTGGTTAGATCTTTCCAGAGTGATGAAGAACCTGATCAGGCTCATGTTGTACCTGTCTTTGAAGATGATGGTTTCTCCTCTGAGCTCTGTGACAGCATCAAAAGTTAGCTCGGGGTCACACTTTTTTGGGGCGTCGGGCCTTGGTTTCACTTTCTTCGGATTTGGGTTTGGACCTGTGGTTGATGGACATGTGGCATTAATCTGCTGTTGATGACAACCAGTCCTCAGTTTTCCATAGGTTAAGCTTACAGTCAATCAGTACAGTACTCCTACCATAGAGGGCTTGAATTCCTTCAATGTCATCTTCAGCCAGCGGGTAGCCTGTAGTATAGGTGTAGATGGGGTACATCAGTGCGCCTGGGTCTGTGGAATGGGACATCCCCAGGGCATGACCCAACTCATGGGCTGCCACTATATACAGGTTGTAAGCTGAAAGAAAAAGATGTTGAATTCAAAATATTGTTGGATAATAGTAATTATCACTAGGAAAAAGTTTAGATATTGCTCAATATTCTTGTGGATAATTCTTACCCGATGAATCTTTGGTCCAGTGTTCATCCTCATCAAAGTGAGTGTCTCCTCCAATGCCTTGGCCAGGAGGGTAGGCATGAGCCAGCAGTCCATCAGGTCCATCAAATGGGTTGTAATCTCCATGCTCTTCAGAATAAAGGGTAGACAATGAGCAGGAATGCACTACAGCAACCCTTCAACACTTGTGTTCAATTCAATTGTAATATATCAGAATTCAATCAATAGTTTGTGTACCTTTTGATCCAAAGCTGATCATAATGTCTGCATTGCCCTCGTAAAGCTTCTTAAAAGTCAGAGGAGTAACGTCAGCCCAAACGTTGAGAGCCCTGCGGATGGCTTTGTCTACATCTGCTTTCTTCAGATCTGGTGTGTAGTTCACTATCCTGAAACATCAGAGGATATGAGGCAGGGGAAAGCTGGTGAATAAATTACATTTGAGCAAAAATACTTGTGTCACCTGTTACTTTATGGCACCTAAATGCATACCTGAATGTGACGTTGTTATTTTCCCATTTGAGGTGTCGAGGGAAGTGGTTGTACTCCCCAATGTCTGGAACGCCACATCTGGGCTCCTTCATCACTGCTAAAGTATTGTCATCTAGATTCCCTGTGACCTTTATAAGTAAAAGAGATAGTGGAGAATATGTCATGTGAGTACATATATCGTTTTGATTAACACTTTTGTTATTGTGAGCAGCTGAAAAGAAGCTGGATTCCCTGATAATATTCAACTTTTGAATGGTAAACTTTTAATACGGAATATACTTTTTTCATTTCTTTGGAAATTACTGGTTATATTTTGGAGTACCTCCAGTTTGAAGAATTTCTGCATTTCCTTGATCTTGGCTTGAAGGAAATTTGACGACGTCCGTCTACCTTGGAGACCACTTGGAAGGCCATAGAATCGATGAAGGTATTTCTGTTTGATACAGAACAAAAAACTGTGATGTGAAGCTCATTTAAAAATCAGAAAAGCTCCAGATCAAACATTCATGCTCATTGTAACAAAAACCCCCAGATAAAACAGAAATAAAACAGAAGCCAGTTGAAAGCTAGATAATGACTGAATAAGAGCTCTTACCTCAGCTAAAAGCTGCTTGTCAATGTCTTCAGATGACAGAGGCTTAGCAGAGGACTGGGCGGCCAGCGCCAGCAGCAGCACCACAGCGATCATACTTGTTGGCTCACAGTCGTTTACTGTGGCAAAGAAGCTCAGTGGGGTATTTATACTGAGTTGAGACCACTTTTTTCCCCCAGCTGTTCCAAGTGATTCATGTGAAAGCACCTACCCACTTCCTCTTATGCCTGTTGAGAATGTGCTTGGGTCTGTAAAACTGCAGGGACTGTGGTTTGAATCTCCTTTGAACTCATAGTTTGATCACACATGTTCTATTTCCTGAATGACCACTACCTAAGACGTTTGGAAATCAATTTACATAGAAATGTCTGTGCGTCAAAATTATGCAACCATGTGTTTGTTTTTCTCAAACGTGAGAAATTTTGAAGAGATGCGTTTTTTGGCAGAAAATACTGTCAGCCTCATTTTTATAAATACATCACATCAGTTGTTATTTTCTGTACGTCTTCTTCTTAGGTTACAGTAGATGACATATAAGTGGCTGACTATAAACAACAGGGGATTTTGTGAATTGTGGCCTCATGATCGTCTGGTCCTTATTTTAGCTGCACATGTTTACGGATGCATGACTAACAAACATAAAAAAAAGGATGTGATGAAAGCATAAACTTTTCATTTAAAATGTGATTTACATTTCATGTGACATCATGTGGTTGTGGGATGCAAATGTCCTGCATTTGCTTTGGTGAAATCAGCTCATTTAGATGGACAGTACTGTGCAAAAGTCTTAACCTACCCCTCGATTCTTTCTTTTTCTAGGAAAATGGGAGATGGTAATATGTCTAAACACTTCTTGAAGGACATTAAAAGCTCTTCTTGGGATGTTGGCTGCCTTTTATTCTGTTCTCTGTCAAGAATCCCACACTGATTCAATAATGTTATGATTCAATAACGTCCAAACTCTGGGGAGGCGAGTCCGTGACTGACAGCGTTCCATTGTGTGTTTTTCCATCCAGGCATGCTTTTACTGTATTGACAGTGTGAATAGGATCATTGTGGTGCTTAATAAATGAAACCATGCCAACCAGACACTTTCTTAATGATTGCATGCCATTGTGTGGATCAAAATCAGACTGTCTGTATTCATAATTCCATCAAGTTTGACAGGATCTCCCATGACCCGCCTGAAATGTAGCAACAAACCATGATAAAGCCTCCAACGGGTTTTATAGATGGCTGTAGACACTCACTGTTGGACCTCTTTCTTGACCTCCTCCATACATATTGACAATAATTGGACCAAAATCTGAATCTTTCATACTTAGATTCATCACTCACGTTCTTTCAAATACTATTCATCTGCTGTCAATTATTTTTGTTTTGTTTTTTAGACTAATAATTCATCTTTTTCTGTCCTCTGCATGTCCAGTTTCCTTTGAGGACACACCCGACACCATATTGAGATATGCCAGGTTTTGGGCTATTACTAAGTTAGCTGGTCCAAAAAAAAAATGCTATTTAATGCCCGTCAAACTCTGTTATCTTAGGAATTTTTCATGTATTGAACAAAAGAAATGGCAACAAATGATGTGCCTTTGTGACAAAACTGTTCTTTTGCTAAGTTGTGTTTTGTGCTGAGTAAGGTAAATGTTTTATGCTTCTATGCTTTTATGATTCATAGATCAGTGTTATGTCGTTAAAGATATTCCTCTGAAAATGGTGAGGTCCAAGAACTGGACAAAAAAATTCTCAGGAACTGCGTAGAGGATTTTTTCATAGCTGAGGTAAAAACGTTGCACATTAAAATGAGAATATTTTATTGTTATGATATATAAATAAATAGAATCATATAATTAAAGAGTCAAGATTACCAAGGTTTTATTATTGTTTTTATCATTAATACAACATTTATTGTAAATTGAGATTTTTAACCATTGCTCTAGGATTGCTCTGGGATCACATGCAGCTCTGTTCCCCATCTCCAGTTATGACAGTGCTTTACTTTAGCTATATATGGACCAGTCATGCCAAGGCGTGTATGTATTCTTTTTTTTTTTATTTTGGATTTTATTCTGTTCCACTTCATTGGTATTTTCATAAATAATTTCATTATTTACACTCTTAGTAATGCATAGAGGTTAATTTATACATCAGCAAACGTAGCAAATTTCAGTATAATGGAACCAATAGGAGTTGGTCTCTATGGGAACTTTCTAAACATTTAAAGTTACTCTGTGTAACTGTGTAAGCGGTCTCTAGCGGCATATGTAAAACTTGATTAGACAGAAGGGAGATGTCCTTCCCACCCACTATGTTCAAATACGGTCGGGGAACATGGCCACTTCCACAAACGGCATAAGTTGATGTGGATGCATAAGTTTGTTGGAAGATGCAATTACATGCTATTCTATGTATATTTATATACATAGAATAGCATGTATATTTTTTATTTAGAATAGCATGGCTTTTTCTGTTAAATAACATATAAACATTACAGACTGTACCTTTAAAGGTCCTCAAAGAAAGTACAGACGTGCTGGCTATTAGCCTACTATTACTATTACATCCCGCTATTGTCTATGAGGGGTAACAAAGCTTTTGTAATTATTTGCTTCTTGTGCAACAGTGGAATTCTTTAGGCAATGAAAACAGACAACTCCAAACTGAGAAACAGCTGCACTATCCAAAAAGAAATGAATAAAAATTTAGATGGATCAGTCCGTATGGGCATAAAAAGTTTATTTTAGACTTAAGCATTAAGAATTGTGTTCAAATAAAATTGCTGCTAGTTTTAACAAGATCATTAAGCAATGTTGTAACTCCAGTTATTAGCAAACATACTTTTGGAAATGGTCTTCTATTAATTTCTAGTAACAATGTTTCGGTAGACGCATCGAGTTTTGCATTTAAACTGCTGCACTGTTGAACAAAACCAAGTCTTAGAGACTGTTTTACTGTAAGAAGTTCAGGTTTTAAATGATCATTGTGGTAATAGTTTGTGTACCTCCTGATTTTTTTTTCTTGTATAATCTCCCACCTTTGTCTTAAAAGAACAAAAACACACAAACAAACAGGAATTGTTGCCTGGACTACATACATACTACAGGCCATCTGTATTTCATTAGTGATATCTTGCAACCACACACCAACATCCATATTTGGAGTAGCATCATGGCTTTTAGACAGCGGTTGAGTGCTCCTGACTCATTTTAGGGAAGTAGGCAGTTAGGGGGATTTTTAGTGTATTTTAAAAAAGTTATGAACAAACACAAAACATACACTGACACACACTTAAGGTAGACATCACTGGTCAGTGCTGTGACCCATTTTTTTAAGACAAAAAAATGGTCCTGGTCTAAGATGTAAATCTGTTAAATCCAAATAGACAGCTCATTAAATGATATAATGTTATTCCTATCATATTGTCCTTTCACCCAGATTTCAGCAAAACAGGAGATGTATTTACTGGACTCTTAAAGCACACTGTAGACCTACTCTATGACCCTTTTAGACATTTTCAGGTAGTGGAGCCTAACCCGGCTGTCTTAAGGGGGGAGGTGGAGTACACAGTACAGGTCAGCAGTCTTTTCCTGGCAAGCCACTTTCAAATTATGGAGAAACCGTGAAACGATGACATCATACGTTATTACTTTGCCCCCTTTGTAAAATGAAAAAAAAAAAAATGAAATAAATAAATAAAAGGGCACACTTCTTAAAGTAAACAACAGGATACAGTACCGGGAATAATTAGCTCATCATTATGAGCTAATGTAAAGAACATTGCTGCAGCCAGTTTACTGCACAGTAAGCTATTTTTGATACCATTTCCACTACACTTTTATATATTTTTTATTTGCAGTGTGGCATTATTAGTAATAATAAAAACAAATGTTACATATGAGAGTTAGCAAAAACATTGAGGAAATGTTAGAGAAAATGAGAAAAAAGAGAAAGCACTTCAGAAAGAAAGGAGAAATGACCTTTTTGTCTCATTGTTCACTTTAAGCTTTAAGCTTAAATTTCAAAACTTACATTTTAACTACTGATTTTATCTACTGTTCTGATTTTATCAGTTTTGATTTTTGATTTTATATACTGTTTTGTTTGTTTGTTTGTTTGTTTGTTAGTTAGTTAGTTTGCTTGTTTTAATCAATTTTAAATCATGCTTTTTATTTGTTTTTGTTTCTAATGTCTCTGTAAAGCACTTTGAATCACCTTGTTGTTTAATTGTGCTATACAAATAAACTTGCCTTGCCTTAAGAGTGATAAGTGCGTCTAGACTTCCCGAGTTTTTGTCAAAAACAGTCATTTTGGTCATTCCCATGTGTTCTGGGGAAAGATTTACCCAGGGACTGATGCATAACGATTGCTTCCATTTCTAGTTGTGTATGATGCTTTTCTTGGCAGTTGCTAAGATAACGAGTGTGGGTTTCATGTGTTATGGTGGAAGTTCAAGTAAGGATAAACCACCAAGTATGTGTATTGGCAGAGAGAGGGGGTGTTGCTACCCGAGTAGCGCCTCTGTTTTATCTTAAGCAACAAGAGTGGAGATAGTCATCTGTGTTGGAGAGCTGGGCTGTTTGTACTTATACAGTAAAAAATAGAAAATGTAACTAATTGTGAATGAGCCATAAATTGTGGTATTAAAAAAAAGATTTGACAAATATTGAAATCAAGATGATTTGTCTTAATAAAAAATATTAATATAATAAATCACTTTTCAAAATCTACCAAAAAGTTTTTCACAAAAGCAGCGAATCAAAATCAAGTCAGAAAACCATCAAGTCTAAAAGAAGCTTCGACCCAGTGTTTTGAGTTTGTGTTTCAGTTTGGTTCTTTTGTAGTATTAGTGAGAGTTTGTCACTATTATGCCCTGTTTTGTATTATGTTTAAATTCTAGTTTTGTTTGTGATCCCTTTCTATGTCCTGTTCCTGTGCCTGTCTGTCAGGTTCTCCCAGGACTCTGTTTAGTTACGTGTGTTTGTTTTAGTCCAGGTCTCAGTGATAGTTACAATAAGACAGAAATGAATGGAATACAATAGGATGGCCCTTTATTGTCATTTTACATGTGCAATGAAAATTGTGAACAATGAAAG